TCACTAAGGGAACCCTATCAGGCTAACAGTGGGCTTCTCAAGAGAAAACATACAAACCAGAAGAGATTAGGGGCCTATGTTGAGCATCCTTAAAGAAAAGAAATTCCAATGAAGGATTTCATTTTCTGCCAACCTAAGCTTCATAAGCAAAGGAAAAATAAAATCCTTTCCAAACAAGCAACTGCTAAGGTAATTCATTACCACTATACAAGCTTTACAAGATATCTTTAAGAGAGTTCTAAACCTGGAAAGGAAAGAACAATACCTGCCACCCTAAAAACACACGTAAGTACATAGCCCACAGACTCCATAAAGCAAGTATACAATTGAGACTACAAAGCAACCAGCAAATAACACCAAAACAGGATCCAAATCTCACATATCAATATTATTCTTTAATGTAAATGGTCTAAATGCTCCATTCAAAAGGCATAGAGTGGCAAGTTGGATATAAAACCAAAACCCAACCTTCTGTTGTCTGCAAGAGACCCACCTTACTTGTAATGACATCCATAGGCTCAAAGTAAAGGAATGGGGAAAGATTTATCACATAAACAGAAAACAATTAAGAGCAGGGGTTGCTATTCTTCTATCAGACTTTAAACTAACAACAGTAAAAAAGAACAAAAAAGCCATTACATAATGATAAAGGGCTCAATTCAACAAGAAGACAAAACTATCCTAAATATATGCACACCCAACATGGGAGCACCCAGATTCATAGAACAAGTACTTCTAGACCTACAAAACATCTTAGACAGTCACACAACAGTGGGGAAATTCAACACTCCACTAACAGCATTAAAACAGATCAAGGCAGAAAATGAACAAAGAAATTCTGATCTTAAACTTAAAACATGACCAACTGGACCTAAAACACATCTACAGAATACTCCATCCAACGACCACAGAATATACATTCTCATCTGCACATGGAACATACTCAACCATGCTCAGTTGACCATGTTCCACTCATCCATGGAACAAGATTGGCCACATGCTCAGTGATAAAACAAATCTCAATAAATTTTAAAAAATCAAAATCATAGCAAAAATATTCTCAGACCACAATGAAATAAAAATATGAATACCAAGAGAATCTCTCAAACCACACAATTACATGGGTTCTACACAACTTGCTCCTGAATGACTTTTGGGTAAACAATGAAATTAAGGCAGAAATTTTAAAAATTATTTGAAATAAATGAAAACAGACTCAACACACCCAAATCTCTGGGAAGCAGCAAAAGCAGTGTTAAGAAGAAAGTTTATAATTTCAAGACACAAAATCAGTGTACAAAAATCAGTAGCATTTCTAGACACCAATAACATTCAAGTTGAGAGCCAAGTCAATAACAAAATCCTATTTACCATAGCCACAAGAAAATAAAATAAAATAACCCAGGAATGCATTTAACCAAGGTGGTGAAAGATCTCTACAGGGAGAACTACAAAACGTTGTCAAATAAATCATAGATAACACAAACAAATGGAAAAACATTCCATGCTCATATGATTGGAAGAATCAGTATTTTTAAAATATCCATACTGCCAAAGGAATCTACAGATTTAACACTATTCCTATCAAACTTTACCAATGCCATTTTCCACAGAATTTTTTAAAAATATTATGAAATTTATGTGGAACCAAAACTGAGCCCAAACAGCTAAAGCAATTCTAGGCAAAAAGAGCAGAGTTGGAACCATCATGCTACCTGACTTCTAACTATACTGCAAGGCTACAGTAACCAAAACAGCATGGTACTGGTACAAAACCAGACACATAAACCAATGGAACAGAATAGAGAACCCAGAAATAAAGTCAAATATCTACAACCAACTGATCTCCAACAAACTTAACAAAAATAAGAAATGGGGAAAGGACTTCCTCTATAATAAATGGTCATGGGATAACTGACTTATATCCATATGTAGAAGTATGAAACTGGACCCCTAGCTAACACCATATACAAAAATAAACTCAAGATAGATAAAAGACTTAACTATAAGACCAAAAACTATAAAAGTTCTAGAAGAATACCTAGGAAATACCATTTTGGACATCATTCATGGCAAATAATTTATGGCTAAGTCCTCAAAAGCAATTACAATAAAACCAAATTTGACAAGTGAGAGACCTGGTTAAATTAAAGAGTTTCTGCACAGCAAAAGAAACTATCAACAGAGTAAACAGACAACCTATAGGATGGGAGAAAATTTCACAAACTATGCATCTGACAAAGGTTTACTATCCAGAATCTATAAGGAACTTAAATAAACCAACAAGCAAAAAACAACCCATTAAAAAGAAGCTAAAGGACAGGAATAGACATTTCTCAAAGGAAGACATACAAGGAGCCAACAAACATATGAAAAAATGTTCCTCATCACTAATCATCAGAGAAATGCAAATCAAAACCACGATGAGATACCATCTCATACCAGTTGAAATGGCTATTACTAAAAAGTCAAAAAACAACGGATGCTGGCAAGGCTGCAGAGAAAGGGGGATGGTTATACACTGTTGGTGGGAAAATAAATTCACTCAGTCACTATGGAGAGCAGTTTGGAGATTTCTTAAAGAACTAAAAATAGAACTACCATTTGATCCAGCAATCTCATAACTAGGTATATTCCCAAAGAAAATAAAGCATTCTAACAAAAAGACACATGCACTCGTGTTCATTACAACACTATTTACAATAGCATACGTGGTATCAACCTAGGTGCCTATCAATGATGGATTGGATAAAGAAAATGTGGCATACATATATAATATATATACATATTTTATATATATATGAATACAATGCAACCATAAAAAAGAATGAAATCATGTCCTTTGCAGCAACATGGATGCAGCTGGAAGCAATTATCCTAAGAGAATGAGTGCAGAAACAGAAAACCAAATGCCACATGTTCTCACTTATAAGTAGGAGCTAAACATTGGGTACACATGGACATAAAGATCGGAACAGTAGACACTGGGGACTACAAGAAGCGGGAGGGAGGGAGGAAAAGGTTGAAAAGCTACTTGTTGGGTACTATGCTCACTACCTTAGTGATGGGTTCAATCCTACCCCCAAACTCAGCATCACACAATATACCTTATAACAAACCTGCACATCTACCCCTCAATCTAAAATAAAAGTTGAAAATTTTTTTAAATACACAGAAAGTAGTTTAGAGTTTACTAATCAGTAGTACATTTAAAGTTGCTCTTCTAAAACCAAGGCTGAGAAAATAGTCCATTTTATTTATCAAAAGAAAAATTCAGTGAATTTTACTCACTGTCTGACCATAGTGAGAACCAGAATGAATGAATGCAAATGTCTGTCCTAACAAATCCCTCTGGTTCTACTTCAGTTCCTGCTGTCTCCATATTTTTCATCAGTGTGTGGAAGAGAGATGTGGTGAAACTGAAGTGGCAGCTTGTTCTTAGAGAACAACAAAAATGCACTTAAAATTTATTCCTTAGGAGCTGTCAAAAGAGTTTGGCAATAAATACAACCTAATGTTCAGAATAAAAAGAGCAATGATCTATAATCCCATTTTCACATCTATTATAAAATCCAACCATGTGTTTCTTCCAAGACAAACTGATTTTATTAACACAATGACCAGACATGTATAAATGATAATATGAGTTTATTTTATAAGCTTGGATCTCACATTTCCATTCTATTGTAGAGATTCACACTTACCCAATTCTAACAAGAGTTGGATAAACCAGTGTCTTCCTAAAATAATAATGATTATTCATCACAAAAGAGTCACAAGCAAAGTCTACATTTGAAAATGTCCAGATTGTCTTTCATGCTATGTGCATTAGGCAGTGTTTCATTTTTAGATCTGGTATATGGACACTATGGATGAATATGTTGATTAATTAGAACAAGTTTATCAAGTTCTTTGAGAGTCTTGGAAGACCAAGTAAAGTAATTCAAGGATTCAGTCCAGACTAAATAGTGTGGCCTAATAGATCAAAACCCTGCAAGAAACCAAGCTGTGGAAAAGTAATAATGTAAATAAAAATGTGATTTCAATCTCTGCTTGGCGACTGTCCTCCCTCAGGCCACTAAGGCTCAGTGCCATCAGATGCATTAATGCTGAGACATTGGTCACTCATGGGGGAGGTGGGGATGGTGAAAAGCTTTTTTGCCTGTAGACCCAGGGGAACTGCTTATAAGCCTGAAATGTATTCAGCTGATGCACCAGACATCAGTTACTGTAGAAGCAGAAGTGAGGAACTTCCCCTAGCATTGACCTAAGAGGATAAATGCATGGCGATGTGCTGAGTTACTTCAACAATGCAGAGACACCCAATGTCAAAATGCCACAGGGCTACCCGGTGTTGCAAGGCTGAAACTGGGTTTTCCATGAGACTTTTAAAGCAGTGGGATTTCTGATTGAACTGTCAGCAAAGATGCAGACCTCCCCAGCATGCCACTCCCACCACTCATTGTAGGAAGAGCAGAGTAACTTTTGTCCTGGGTAACAATGATGAATGATCCTCAAGTCCTGATGCAAACCAACAGTGCTGGGACCACACACTGGCCTGAGAAAAATACATATGGGTAGTAACTAAGACATTTCCAAGGGATTTCTAGTCTTTCAACAGGCTCTGAAAATGGCATGTGATCCAATCCCTGAAGCTACCAAAGGGTTTAGGAATTTGGCTGGAGAAAAATAGAGGTGTGAGTATCCAAACTCTAGGCCTGCAAGCCCTTTACTCAGATTTGGAAATTTTCCTGGGGCACAGAAGTTTAACAGCACAGGATTAAGAGGTGGGACATTGGAGTCAGACATCCTGGTTTCAGATTCTGATCTGCCACTTAATAGTTGTGTAATCTTGTGAAGGGTGCTTAACTTCTCTGAATCCCAGTTTTCTCATCTACAAAATGGATGTAATTGTAATATGTGAATGAATTAGGACTAGGTTGTCTGCAAATGGCAGGTAATTTAAGACAACAGTAGTTTTAACAAAATAGAAGTTTATTTCTAGCTCATGTAAACATAGCAGTCCAGGTGGGGTATGGCAACCCCATATCAGGAAGGACTCTGTCTTCTTTCACCTATTTGCTTCACCATCTTCAGTTTGTGGCTCTCATCTTCTGTTTGCAGATGGAACTCCAGCTCCAGTCTTCACACTCACATTCCACACAGAGGAATTAGGAAAACGGGGAAGAAGGGAATGGTCTTCCCCTTTATAGACATGTCTGCAAACTGCACAAAACTCTTCTTTATCTTCTTTCACTGGAGCTTAATCACATGACCACATGTGGCTGCAAGAGACATGAAGTCTTTATTTTGGATGTCTACATACCCAGATGCAATTGGGAAAGACTACTATGGAAAGGAAACAATGATATAAGGAGATGCACATCAGTCTCTGCTACCCAACATATCCAGCTATTGTGAGGACTGAATAAGATAATGTTGATAAAGTATTTTGCACAGAACCCAGGCCAAAGGAAATGTTCCATGAATGGCTGGGATTGCTGCCATCCCTCCTCTACCCAGAGCATCCAGGCTTGGTTCTGTGTTGCCAGGAGGGCACTGCAGCTGCTGGACAGGAGGCAGATGTAGGACATGAAGAGATGCTGTTTGGGGAGCATGGAGGGTGCAGAGGGCTGCTGGTAAGCAGGGCTGAGGCTAGGGTGAGGTAAGTGAGGTACACATCTCAGGTGCAAAGTGCAAGGGATGCCAAAAAACTCAGTATTCAAGAAAAAATATTAATGCAATATTTTAAAAATCAAAATGAGGCCGGGGGCAGTGGCTTGCATCTGTAATCCCAGCACTTTGGGAGGCTGAGGCAGGTGGATCATGAGGTCAGGAGATCGAGACCATCCTTGCTAACACGGTGAAATCCCGTCTCTACTAAAAATACAAAAAATTAGCTGGGCGTGGCATGGTGGCAGGTGCCTGTAGTCCCAGCTACTCGGGAAGCTGAGGCACGAGAATGGTGTGAACCCGGGAAGCGGAGCTTGCTGTGAGTAAAGATTGCACCACTGCACTACAGCCTGCAGGACAGAGCAAGACTCCATCTCTAAACAAACAAACAAATAAATAAATAAATAAATAAATAAATAAAGGAAAAATAACGATGATGAACAAATTATCATAATTGTAAGTAAAGGCAGTATCTGACTCTGTCTTGCACAATTCACCTCATTCCCTTCACCTGGCCCTGCCAATCCCTTCTTTCTGGCAGCCTTTGCTCTAACCTGAGAGAATTAACGCAGTTTTGAAGGAACTGCATCTGCAATAATTATATCAGACCCAATAAAATATAAAATCTCTAAGGCACATAGATATCTTTAATCTGTACATTAACTTTAAAGAAACAACACTATTTTAAAATTACAAAACCTGTACCATATAAAATACAAAAAAGAAAATTAAAAGCATCCAAAATTGCACATTAAGACAGAATCTTCATTGACATTTTATTGTCTCTTTCTAGTTTTAAGCAGTATATTTTCTATTTAAAATGGAATCAATCCAGTATATACTATATATTTTCATTTAACAATATTTCTGTATCATTACTCTTCCATGATACAATTTTTATGTGTTACTCATTGTGTGTGTATATCAAATTTAGGCTGTTTCCAACATTTTGGTCTTATAAACAATAAATATTCTTGTAGTTAAATTGTTGTTGCAATTATCTTTTTATTTACTTGGTATAAGTTCTTAGAAGGGGAATTGCTGGTCAACCTTCTTAAGATTGCCAAACAGCCTTCCAGAAAGTTCTTCCAATTTATATTTCTCCCAGAAACATATGAAAGCATGTTTCCCATATCCTTGATGATGTGGAGTATAATCAACTTTTTAAAATCTCTACTGATTAAAACAGGGAAAAACTAAAACATTTTCATTCACATTCCTTTGCTAATGATAGTCTTTTTCTTGTTTTTCATTTTTATTTAAATTTGTTTAAATAAGTTGCCTGATGAGGTAAGCCCCATGATGGAAGGATGTATGTCTGTTTGTTCATTTAGGTCTCTGGGGCACCTATAACTGTGCCTGGCAAAAATAAGTGCTCAATAGTTACTGGATGGATGATGTCCAACACTTATAAGACTTCTTTATCCAAGCAAATAACATTTAGATGAGTTTTACTTTTTTTAGTTTATCCTCTGCCCTTCAGTTTTACTTATTGTGTTCTCTGCTATATAGAATATTTTAAAAATCAAACTAATGTTTTCCTTCATGTTTTCTCTCTGCTTGCAACAGGATTAGTGACATTTTATATATACCAAGACTCTATGTGTGTGTATGTGTGTGTGTGTGTGTATGTGTGTGTGTATACATTTTTTTCTATTTTGCTTTTTGTTTTTAAATCATGTAGGCCTTATTTTGCTCTCTTTAGAGTGCAAAATAGAGTGTTTCATTTTTCCATATAGTAAGCAATTTGTCTCAAAAGTATTTGTTGAATTACGTGCCCTTTCCCAGTCAAATCAAACTACCATTGTCACTGATGTGAAATGCCTTGTCCTTATCTAAACTTGAATCTCTTTCTAAACTTTCTATTTTTTCATCGGGTTTGTCTCTCTACACCAGTACCATGCTGTTTTAAAAATTGTTTTGATATCAGGATAGGCAATTCTCTCCTCATTATACATTATGCTAAAAATTCTCATTTACTCTCCTATGTTTATTATTTCAGGAACACATGTGAATCATATGTTCACATTTTCTTATAAATCGCCATTGAGGGCCAGGTATTGGTTGCTCATGCCTGTAATCTCAGCACTTTGGGAGGCCAGGGCAGGAGGTTCACTTGAGCCCAAGAGTTCGAGACCAGCTGGGCAACATAGTGAGACTGCCAATCTCAAAAAAAAAAAAAAAATCCCATTGAGGTTTTATTGAGATTGCATAACATTTATAGATTAACTTGGTGACAAAATAGATCATTATAAACATTCCCTATACAGGGATATCATGTGTCTAGAATTTAATAAAGCATGTTATAGATTCCTTATATATGTCCTGAACATTTCCTATTGAATTTATTCCTAGATATTTTATAGTTTAATTACCATTTTAATAGGATTTTTTCCTTTATTTGTATTTATTTTCTCACTGGTTATTGCTCTAGTATTAAAAAGCTATTTTTCTGTACATGTTTTTAATAAGCCACTTTACTCAATATTCTTTATATATGAATTTATTAGTCTTTCCAGATAGATTGTCTTCTGTAAAGTCTTTTTTATTTTTTCCTCTGTATCAACATTTATACCTCTGATTTTGTTTTCTTACCTTATTGTCATTCTTTAAACTTTAAAAGCAATACTTAATAATAATTGTTATAGTAAGTATCTTCCTTTGCCTTGTTTTTAACTTGAAGAGAAATATTTTTACTTTTATACTATTAATTTCAGGATTTTTTTTTTTTTTGAGGAGTCTCGCTCTGTCACCCAGGCTGGAGTGCAATGGCATGGTCTTGGCTCACTGCAACCCCCAACTCTGGGTTCAAGTGATTCTCCTGCCTCAGCCTCCTGAGTAGCTGGGACTACAGGCGCACACCACCATGCCCAGATAATTTTTGTATTTTTAGTAGAGACAGGGTTTTACCATGTTGCCCAGGCTGGTCTCAAATTCCTGACCTCAGGTGATCTGCCCACCTCGGCCTCCCAAAGTGCTGGGATTACAGTGCATGAGCCACCACACCCGGCCAGTATTCTTAATTAGGTTAAAAATCTTTATTTCTCTCTAAGAATTTTTTTTTTAATCAAGAATGGATGTTGAATTTCATCAAATGTTTTTAATACTAGTACTAGTAATTTTCTTTGTTCTAGTAATATGATTGATTACATTAATCCATTTCCTGAAATTGTATCATTCTTGTATTTCTAGAATAAACTTACTTCGTCATAGTATTTTTTTAAATATAGCTCTAGTTTTGATTTACTAGTAATTCATGTGTGATTATGTATTAGTCAGGGTTCCCTAGAGGGACAGAATAAGAGATACATATATATCTATCTCAAATCATCAAAGAACACATAATTCCCATGTTAGTAAAAGCAAAAAGGAAGGGAAATGGAAATCTTTGCCATTTCTTTTAGAAAACTCTATAACCCTGATACCAAAACTTGACATATTAGAACCCAAAAGAGAGCCAACTATAGATGAAATATAAAATGATAAGTGATAGTCTGTGATGGTTAATACTGAATGTCAACTTGATTGGATTGAAGGATGCAAAGTATTGATCATATATATATGATATTCATATATATGAAATATATATATGATTATAGCAAGACTTTCATATGTATATGATCTATCTATATATCTATATATAACTATATATATATGAAAATCTTGTTATAATCAAAATCTTAGTTTTCCCTTCTACCTCTAATAGTTTCTCCTCAGACGATTTGATGTTTGCTCAATATTTAGAATTTCATATATATATATATATATATATGGGAGTTTATTAAGTATTAACTTACATGATCACAAGTTCAAACAACAGGTTGTCTGCAAGTTTGAGAAGCAAAGAGAGCCAACCCAAATCTCAAAACTGAAGAACTTGGAGTCCAGTGTTCGAGGGCAGGAGGCATACAGCATGGGAGAAAGATGTAGGCTGGGAGGCTAAGCCAGTCTCATCTTTTCATGTTTTTCTGCCTGCTTTACATTTGCTAGCAGCTGATTATATTGTGCCCACCAGATTAAGGGTGGATCTGCCTTTCCCAGCCCACTCACTCAAACATTAATCTCCTTTGGCAACACCCTCACAGACAAACCCAGAGTCAATACTTTGCATCCTTCAATCCAATCAAGTTGCCCCTCAGTTTCAGCCATCACAGACTATTATAATTTTATATTTCATCTATACCTGGCTCTCTTTTGGGTTCTAATATGTCAAGTTTTGGTATCAGGGTTATCGAGTTTTCTAAAAGAAATGGAAAAGATTTCCATTTCCCTTCCTTTTTGCTTTTAATAACACAGGAATTACGTGTTTTTGATGATTTGAAATAACTTGTCTCTAAGTTTCTCTGGATCCAGTACCTTTAACAATAGATCTTTAACAAAATTTTCTACCTTTTCTATGCTTTCTGTTTTCTCTATTCAGATTCTCAACTTCTTTTATAAGACTTGATCATTTTCATTTTTATTCTTTAAATCTTTGATTTAATCATGATTTTTGAGTTTATCAACAAAAAAAATGGTATTTTCACAAAATTTTTCATAATATCTTTTGTATTTTTGCCTAAATCTACTTCTCATTGATATTTTACGTTGGAATTTTTGTGTATTTTTTTCT